AGCTTTATTTCAACTACTAGATGAGGATTTGGAGCTAGGTCTTCAGAGAAGCACAGGCAGGTCTGTATCGGGATGGTTCAGCACCTGCCATGCAAAGACATTGTGTTCCCATGGCTGAACGGCTAGCCAGGGCACGGAACCTGGGGGCCAGGCAGTGTGCAAGGCTGTGGGCACACTGTGTCCTTGACTGCCATTCTCTGCTCAGTGAAGTTTGTCTAACTAGAGTTTAGCCTGCAAAATTCCACATCTTCACAAGTTTCCTGCTCCTAAATACCTGGGTTAAAGAATCATGGTTTGGAACTCTGGTTTTGAGTCCTTTGTTAGGAAATTTTGGGTTTATTTGAATATGCAGATTTTTCTTTTTGGAAACCCACTTGTACAGAGATAAGCGAAGATAAGCTTTGTGTCCTGGTTTATGAAGTCTAATAGTTGGTGTTTGTAAAGGCAAATGAATGTGATTGAAATCCAGTGGCAGATACAGTTGAGCCACATGCATCTTGTGGGAAAGAACACTCAAACTTAGGGACAAGCTAAGTTGTCAGGTGTGTTGGGTGTATACTGTGCTTTTTCCTCATATGGAAGTTTGAGTATGCCTCTCCCAAATAGTTTGAAAGAACTATTTTAAAATACATTTGTGCTGAATATTTAAAATACTGCTAATATATTTGAAGATACTTGTGTGTAACCATGAGGAAAAGCATAAGCTATGAAATTTAGACTTGCATTTGTAATGGGTAACAACAGAGCTGTGTTGCAAACTTCTTTGTAACTACACAAGCCTAGGCTTTTCCATTCCAACTTGCACAGCCCACAGGCAGCCTTCCTTTGTTTCCCAAGTGTGCCTGCAGATCACAACTGTGAAAGTCAGTGTCCTACATTGGGGACTGGACTCTCTTACACTTGTGGCTATGAAGGTGTGGCCTGAGTTTCCTTTAGTTTTTCTATGGAGAAAGGCTGCCTGGTAGCTGCCTGCCTCAAGAGCTGTATTGGGGGTGACAGCACCAGATCAGTATTGACTTTTTCTTGAAGGAAGAGTTATTGTCCCAACAAAAGAGCTAAGCAATTTGTCTGCCAAGAACCTTTTTGAATGCAAATATCCTCTCAGGAGTTTTCTATCCTAATAAAATTAAGTGTTTTTTGTTTCTTTGGCAGGTGCCTTGGTAACTGGACACCTTTGGAGGAGAAGAGATGAAGAACATGCTTGGCTCATCAATCACTGATGAACTGATGCCATCCCAGTGTCCACATATGAAAGAAAAAGTTATTTTCTGCCTTGACTACAGGTGAGTGCCTGTTGTATACCATACCTCACTTGCCAAGCTTGGGGAATCTAGGAAAATGACAGTGCATGTCTGAAATTAATTCCAAAAAGACAGTGGCAAATTTTGGTCATGTGCAAGACATGAGGTGCTGTTGCTTTTATGACACCTCTTTAGGCTCTCAGATCAGAGGAACACCATTCAGTTTACCTGGGGGGGGCACAGGTCCTTTCTGGAGTCTGATGTGTCATCAGATACAGATACCATATAGACAGGGTGATCTGTAGCCAGGAATGCATGCTGCTGCAAAGCACAAGCTTCCTTTGTAACCTGAGCTGAATGCACTGTTGAGTGCTGAGAAACATGGTGTCTAGAGTTTCTTGGCAGTTGGACTTAGATGATCATTGTAGGACACTTCCAACTGAACTATTCTGATGAGAGGGCTGCCATGGTTCCTTAACTATCTTAAGAGCAAAGACACCAGTACATCCTTCCTGTGGCTACTGATCTAGCTAGGCAGGTCAGACCACATTTTGCTCAAGAGACAGATGGGGAAAACGTTGATCCCAAGATGGCAGTTCTATCACAGGTTTAATAATACTTCATTATTACTATAAAGGAATGTCTGGCAGCAAAATGAACTAGCATCTTGTGGTCAATGCCGGACACCTAGGGAAGATAAGAACACAGCAGTCAGATTATGGTGCTTCCTGAGAGTGTTTTTTAAACTTCCAGTGATTTGAGTCAGGAAATTCTTGGATCACAAAGGTGAAATCATAATATTTAAGAGCTCTATGTGGAATTTTCTTCCAGAAAAGTGATTATTTCCTTTAAATCTGCAAAATAGTTGACATTTTACATACCTTGCAGCAAGGACTCCCATAACTTACCTTTGTATTATAGGACAGTATCTTCCCATGCTTGTTTTAAACCCACTGCTCTTGTCTGAAGTGCCCTAGTCATTGTATGAGAAGAAACAGTGGATAGTGTTTTCCTGTTCACTTTCACTACTCCACACATTACTTTAGACCCCTATTCCTTCATCCATACCTTTTTCAGGTTGCAGAATCCTGGTCTGTTCAGGCATCCAGTGCATAGAAGCTGCTCTGTTCCCTTGATCAGCTGTGCTACTTCTTTTGGGACCTTTCACGGTTCCTCTGTATCAGCTTTGAGATGGGCAAATGGACCAGAATTTAACACAGTATTCAGAATACAGGTATAATGTGGATTAATATTGTGATATAAGGTTGTTCCCTTTTTGCTTTTCTGTTCTTTTTACATGTAGTTTCTAGCATTCCTCTTGTTTTTTGATTGCTCCTGAGTTGATATTCTTATGGGAGACTCTGCCTTAATCTTATTCCTGAAAAGAATAACCAGCTGAACACCTGACAGTAGGTAAAGTTAGTGCTGTTTTTTCTCTGTGTGTTACCTATACTTTTTCATTCTGAAGTTCATCTGTTGTTTTATTACAGAGAATCTCGATATTATGAGATGTTTCTGCAGCATGTTGTAGTTTTTCTTTTTACTGTCATGAGTAGAGAGTTATAATTGAATGATTATAATCTCAGTATTCTTTTTTCCAGATCATTTATGAATATAGAAGAGATTCCTGTGAGAGTGACCTGGCTTCACAAAAAGCATTATCATTTATTTCCTGTGTTTCCTCTCTCAAGTGGTTTTCCATCTCAAGCCTTCGTATCCCGCTGCAGCTCAGATCTTTTAAGAGGCTTTTGTGAGAGATATTATTTAATTTCTTTGGAAATCCAAGCAGACATTATCAATCATGCACCAGCTGTTGACCTGCTCAACAACTGAGGTTGCACTGAAAGGCAGCACTTTGCTAAACAAAAGCTGTGATGATTCTACCCCATACAGCATATTTATAGAAATATCTGCTACTTTTATTACTTAGTTGCTTGTGCTAATGTGGCCATTTTGTATATAATACTACACTGTCACAGGTTCCCCATGCTTGCTTTAGAATACTTTTTTTGGAAAGATTTCCCTCAGTGTTCTGCCAACAAAGTAGTGTTGGGTGAGAGGCTGCATACTATCATTGATAATGCAGTTTTTCCATCCTTTATCTTGGTTTAGTTCTACCTGATCTTGGTCACTTTGTTGTTGGCTTTTCTCACAGTTTCTTATACTGATATTTTGCCCCTGAGAAGTATCATCTAGGTGGTTCTGGTATGCTTGTGCCTTACTTTTGGATTTTTGGTTTGGTTGTTTGTTTTTTTTTTCAGTTTGTGCATGCCTGAGTTTATAACCCTTTTACTTTTTCAGCTTTACTGGAGTATGCTTTCTTGCTCCCAATGGTCTTGTTTTGTGTTTTTTTAGTACCATTATGTTTAGTTTTAGGCTTCCTCAAGGCTTTTTTTTTTTTTTTCTTTGATAGGCAGGATGCATATGTTATGAGTAACATGATGTCTTGAAATAGTCTGTCTCAGGAAAACGTGCAGTTCTTTCAGGTTCCCCTTTTAGGTTCATTGATTTTTCTACTTTTGTGTGGTTCCTGTCATTTGAAATTGAGTGGGGCAGTAGTTGATCTTCTGGCTTTGGGGGGTCTGTAGAAATGCTGAGTCTGATACTGGTATAGTTCAGGTATATGGCAGAAATATGATAAACCAATTGTGTGTACTGGTCAGGACTGAATTAAGAGTTGGTTCCCATTTGTGTGGTTTCCCAGCTGCCTGTTCCTGAAACAGTTATTCAGAGCATCTAGAAATCTAGTATTATCTGAGTAGTCAATGTAAAGATTTCATGTTTTACTTCAGAGTAATTAAAATAATTGGAAATAATAGTTCCCTGGAATTTCCACATTCCATTGCCTTCCAGCTGCCATGTTTCCTTTATTCCTGCTGTGTCCATGTTCTTTTTTAAGGTAGGCATTCTGAGTCTGTGCCATCGTTATCTTAGAGAATTCTGTGAGACATGGAAATCATTGTTTTGATTTTTCTGTTGCTGTATCCTGTTCATATGAGACAATTTTTTTTCTACTTTTCTTTACTATTTGACTTATGTCAAATTCTATGGTTTACTTGAGGTTGCAATGTCTACTGTAGTATTTGGAACAGTGCATCCTGTGTGCACCAGCCTGCTTTCTCCTACTTGTTAGCTTGAAATGTCTGTATGATCTTCCTGATGTGAAGTGCAGATCCCATTTCCTTCTCAGTTCAGGTGGAAATCTGATCATCCTTTACTAGGCTTAATCTGCTCTAGAAGCTTCCCCAGTCCCTGATGAACCTGAGCCTCTCTTCCTTACTCCATTGCTTTAGTTGTGCATTGAGACTTTGCCTCCTCACCAGCTGTGTTATGATGCGGGTCCTGGTCTTTGACATCCTACATTCTGGCTCCAGAATCTCTCTTCTTACTTTTATGTGGTACGCAGGTGGACCAGAGCCCCTGCCTTCTTCCCAGAATGTCCCAACTTGACCAGGCTTATTTTAAAGTTTGTCAGTGTAGCACCAGCTGGGACATGAGCATGCTGTCTCTGGAATCAGGAGGCATACCTGTTAGGTACCTGGCAACTGAACCACTGATGGCTATTGCCTGTCCCTTTTTCTCAGCTTGGGTTTTTGTCCCGGGGAAGTATTGTCAGTACAAGAAGATACACAGAAACTTTTTGCAGAGAGGGGACCCACTGACTAGGATTATTATATACTTAAACAGTTTGGTACCTTCCTGCCATGAAACTAGGACTGGAAGAGCTTTTCAGTGTCCTGAAAAGCTGCCTCAGTTTAACCTGTTTCTCTAAACAGCAATAGAGTTTTTTGCCTGCATATGAGATTGTTCAGAAATTGCCATGAAGTCTTAGTGTTGTGCATTCTTCCACCTATACCACGATCAAGTCACAAGAATCTCTATCTCTGAGGATCACAGACTGCCTGGAATGAATACATCTTCACACCACCTACACACAGGTCAGGTAATCATATGACACTTGATACTTTACCCATGGAAATTGTCACCCTCTAGCTAGGCTTCTGACTGCATTTCTCTTGCACACCTGGACTGACTCAGTAAAAGTGTTCCTATATGGGATGGCAATGCAGCTTCCATTTAAAGTATTGAGAAGCAATTATGTTATGTGCATCATTAGCAAGTGTATTCATTGTGTTTCATAACAAATTATTCTGAGACATTGACTGAACCCAAGTTATGAGAAGCTGAGCCATATCTTTAGCCTATGTTTCATTCTAAAGAAGCTGGCCTTCCCAGAATGGCAGTCTTCCTGTTACTTGGCTGTAGACTTGATACATGGCTGGAGCTCTTTCTTCCATCTTAGAAGACGCATTTGCATCACTGTGTTACTAATCTGGTGATCCTGAGCTGTAGAGTGGTCACATGAAGGTCATTAAGGTGGAGGAAAAGAGTCCCTAAAGGTTAGAAACTTTTTTGCAGCAAATCAAAGAAAATGTGTCACACACACCTTGCTGTGATGTTCTGTCGTCTTTCTTTGCCTTCCAAATCAAATCTGTGTGTAAGGCTATATGGGCATATATATATTTTCTAGTAAGTTTGGTGGAACTGAGAAAACTTAAAAATGTAAAAAGTGTTCCCAAGAAAACCTTGAGAAATGCTACTTTAGGTTAGAGGTTGTGCTTGTGTTAATTGACTTGCCAGTTAACTTGCTGTAACTAGCACAAGTAGAAATGCTTATCTAGACAACCTGCAAATATTTATATCACAAATGTTTATGACCTAGAAGAAATTTTCCAGGAAGAAATGAGTGTGTGGCTAGATGGCCACAATTAAAATTAACGCCTAAGGAGTTAAAGAAGATTGACTAACTTGAATGTAGCTGCTGTTATGGGGGCAAGTTCTTGTCTGGCCAAATGACCAATTTCAAGGAAGTTCAAGGGAGTTAAGAGTCACTTGCCCCTGAATCTACATCAGTTTATGTCAGCTCCATATCTGGCCTAGGACTGAACATTGTTGCTTTAGATCATGCAAATTTGCTGCGTTGGTCCTGCCCATAGTTCCTGATTTGTTTTTAATTATACCAAAGAAGGAAATAAACTGCGTCCTTGCAAAATTTTCAGGACTCTTCTGATTTGGGGTGTTGCAGGGTGTAGTTAATACTCTGAAAAGGCTTCGGGATTCCTGGATGAAAGGTGTGATGAAAGAAGTGTATTGTTATTGTTTTAGGGGAGGAATCATGCTACTAGGTAAGCCTCTGTCACTGAGACTTGCTGGACTTGTTCTGACTTGCCTATGACTCCTTTCTTTCCTAATTCGGGAGATAAAGCCTCAAGTCTATGCTGAGATGCTGCACAGTGTGTCGTGAGCATTTGGGACAGTGCATCTCCCAGACAGAAGAGCTTCTTGGTGATCTCTCAGTGGTACCCAGAGGTGAGTGCCGTACCCTTCTGACTTGTTCCTTGGTAGTTTGGGCAGCGTGGCTATATCATGTGTAGATTTGTAGGGCATCTTGAGCTTTGACCAAGGGTGTGGAGGAGAATGGCAGTAGCTCTGAGCTTGCTTCTGATTTGAGCTGCCTTCCATACATCAGTAATCCTTCTGATATTTCACCTTTCTTCTCACCCAAAATGTATTTGTTTTCCAAGATTTCCCCAGCTCCTACAGCATAGTGACAAATCAAGGTGGTCCCCAAAGGTTGCGGTGGGGGAGCAGGTGAGAGCCACCTCAGTATGCCCTAATTCTGATCTGCTGTTTGTGCTAGTGTGGTTAGAACATGTTGCAGTCACTACCGCTGAGCTAACAGCATGATACAAGAGGGTGAGCAAAGTAAAGTAGGTTAAAGTAGCTTCTTGTGCTTTTGTTTATTTTCATGGGCTTTGTATGCAGCCAGTGAAGTGTTAATCTGTGCAGAATCAACTTGGAAACGCACCAAATCTGGCACCAGACCATTTCTCCCACCCTGCCTTGGAATGAAAATCAAACTGAAAACCTACAAAGACTATAACTGCTTGTTTGGTGTCTCACTTCTGAACTAGATTTCAACCAGTCAGAGCGAGACAAAGTGAGACAGAATGAGCTATTTTCAAAGGCTGAAAAGCAGAGATTTACTGCTATATTCTGGGACTTCCGAACCAACAGAATAAGATGCTTGTCTACAATCAACGCAGCTGGAAGTGGAAATCTGAGAGGTAGAGATGACGTAGAAGTTGCAGAACCTTATCCTAAACTGATTGCAGTCAGTGGCCATGTACCTAATACTTCCTTTACGCTGAGATGGCTTCTCACAGGTTCATGCAGACTGTAAAGTCCTTATGTAGTGAGGGGCCCTCCCAGTTCTACTAAAGCTTATTTCAGAACATGGGAGTCTTTGTCAAGATGTTGGCTGTGGCAGTCAACTGTAGAAAGATGTGCTATTGATCAAGGATATTTCAGTTGCTGTTAGTACATTATGTCCCACAGACTGTTATACAGGAGATTAGTGCTATCCCAACAATTAAAGGACTCATAGCCTCCAAAAAGATGCATGCAAAATGGATGAGAGAGTAACAAACCTTTTGTGCTGATTGCAAAGGTGATGAAATAATTGGGGAAGTCTCTATGAGCAACATTTTGGCATCATGAATATAGTTACTGGTAAGCTCTGAGTTAAAATATCCTAAGGACTGAATGCTGCCCTTGAAACTTGACGCAAATGACAAGAAGGGTATTTGGAGCTGTTGCCTTTGCCCAGCTGAAGGGTGCTCCTGGGAAGCAGCGAGACCTCAGTAGAATTGGATGGTTAAGGGGAGGAGCTCAATTAGTAAGTGGCAAATACATTAGTGATGCTTTATCTGACTGAAGAGGGGTGGCATGCAGCACCTACTGTTTTTGTGGGATGTTTGAGGGTGTGGGGAGATCAAGCTGATTCAGCGTGACGCATAGAAGAACATGCACGTTTTGTTTCCCTCAGCAGATCCCTTCAACGTTTGGAAGTCTTCCATTGTATCAGAATCGCTTTGGGACATATCAAACATTGAGTGATTGAAGCTGGTAGGTAACTGACCTCATCCAAACAAGGGTCTTGCAGTACTTAAGCAGGCAGTAGCTGTTTGTTTCAACACCCAAAATGGTAGAAGTTGTTGTCCCATTCTCTTAGAAGTGTGTATTCTGAGTGAGCCGCAAGAGTGGAGGAGAAGTGTTAGGTTGGTGTGATTGCTTGTGGCAAAGGTGGGAGCGGAATTAGTCTTGCTTTGTGGCCCTGTGCTTTTGCTACAGAACGCCTGGACTAAGCCAGTTGTTGCCATTCCCAACCACCCTGCCAAGGTAGATAGCTTCAGGGACCTAGTCTGGATTTTCAAATTGCATTTACCAGCCTAGCAGATTAGTCGATTCAGTTGTCTTGTGAAAGGTCCCATTTTTAGGAAGAGTGATTGTAGGGATTTGGCTGAATCTGTCTTCAGATGGAAAAACTGGTCATGACTATATAGAGAGACCCTCCTCAGCTAATGTGCCACCCAAGCTCTGCCATTAGATCTTCTGGGAATATTGGAATATTAGTGAGCAGAGGAATAATAATAAAAAAATATAATAATAAATTTATTATAGGAAGACAGCAGCAGATCAGATAGAAGAGGTTGCATGTTTTCTTCTATGCAGAGTGTAGCAAAACACCTTCAGTTAACAGCTGGTGCCAGAAAGGCAAATCTAGGTCGAGGTGCTGTGAGGGCTTAGTTTAAGAAGTCACAAAATGTCAATGACAGATCTATAAAACAGAACAAGGTAGCTGTTCCCTGCTTATCTAGCAGGATAAGGGCCTTTTTTTGGGGACACAAATGATAAGTTATGGTTCCTTTTCCTGTCTTGAACAGACCTTTTCTGATCAGTTTTCTAGTGCACAGTAGCTCAACCGGAAGCGATGGGTATAGCAAATATAGCAAATCAAATACTATCAGGCAGAGGTGGAAGCTGAACTTCCATTGTGAATGAACATAAGTAATCTTTTAGGGAGTTTGGTACAAGATGAGAGAGGGAAAGCAGATTGTCACCTGTGCATTGTGCTTGTCTTTGGCTTTTGGGTAAATGTTCCAAATTGGAAGGTAAAGAATTAATTTGGGGTTGATCAGAAATCCAACCTGAAATCCTATCTGCTTTTTCCTTGGTTTCACAAGGAAGACCAGACAATTCAGCTCCATAAAATTTCAGTACAACTCTTCTTCTTAATGTCCCAATAACTATTAATGTAGCTTTATTTCTTGCTGTATTTTACTTTTTAAAATATCCTTTATCAAGACTTGATTTAATATTCCTCCCTTTACTGTGTTTAAAATAGCTTAATTCTATACAAACATAGCTGTTTTCAAAATAGTTCATTCAGATGGATTTTTTTTCACTGATCAAAACACATTCTTTGGCTGAGAGCTAAGGTGTGTAAACTAGGAGACTTAACAGTTTGCATTTCAAGACTCAAATGAACTGTGATATGAAATTGTCAGATTGCTGCTCTCTCCATGGATTGTCTTGGGCTCCTTGGGAATGAAACATGTTTTAACTGAGAACAGGGATTGCTGGAGGAGGTCTAATGTTCATCCATAGTATTGCCAAGATAAGTTTTGTACTGAACTGCAAGATCTGGGGTTTGAAACTTCTTGCTAATTCACTGCAGACTGAAAGCTGCCAGACGTAAGGCGTGAGGAGGTGGTTTTCAGAGCAGAGAGCCTTCAAGGTCCCCTGGTGGAGTCTCACTTCTGATCTCTTGTTAAGGTTTGCTCTTGAGGAATGAAAGTTATCCTCATCCATGCTGGACAGTGAATGCATTGGTGTTACCTGAATTCCCCTGTCTGCCACCCTGAGCGTTAATTTGCAGTTTACTGGAATTTGGACAGTAAAAAAAAAAAATATCAAAGCATGTGATATAAGGAAGCAAGAAATGAAAAGCTGTACAAAACACCCAACTCTGGAAGGCATCAACTCAGACAGCTGTGGTATTGGGGGTCTTCTGAGGAGAATACTGATCTATATAAGCAGTGCCTCTGCCACAAGAAGAAAGAAAGGATACCTCTATGGTTGAAGGCAATATCATCTCTGCCTCTGCATTCCTCAGCACTGCAGAGGATCAGTATTTCTCTGGCCAGTGCATGTTGCTTTGGGGAACAGAATTTTCTTGGTTACTGGAGTGCAGAGAAGACTGTACAGAAGTCTGATTCCTAAACTGGGGGATCCACCTGCACTGAACTAGTTAACTACAGAGATGTATGGCACAGGCACAGGAGTCCCTGTCAGGTGGTTGTTCTGGTAGAGAATAACAATCCTGTCATCTGTGGCATAATAGCAAAAAGGCTGGGGGACAAAGGAGCTAGTTGGAGATGTAATGTGTGTGATTAATGACTGAATGCATTGAGTGGACATAACCCGAACAATAACTTTCACTGAATGTAGTAGGTCTCAGTAGGTCTCAGCAGAGGCAGGCTCGAAACCAGACCTAGCTGTGAGTATGTTTTATTTTGTGAATACAGACCCTAGCATGACAGTGTCAAAGGCTAGAACTCCTGGGCACTACGAGAAATACATGCTGCTCTAATACAAGCAATACACATTTGGTCTTGCCTGCACTCAAGCTGCTCTTCAGAGAGTAAAGGATAACTTATTTTGGACCAAACAAGATGACTTGCTCCCTGCATTTATGCTGATTCCTGAAATGGGTGGCAAAAGATTAGGTATTTCCTAAAAAGCTAAAAATAGGAGAGGTTTTCTTTCTGAAGCCTTCTGCATAACTGGCAACTAGCATGTCTGCTGATAAAATAGACAAAAACAACCGAAAAAAAGGGGGCTGCTGAGCTGGGTCCTTCACTCAGGCGTTGTAGGTGAAGGACATATAGTGGCAGTTGTATCTGCAGCAGGTGATGAGACCTGGTGCTTTCACTGCACAAGAGAATTTTCTTGTTCTGTTCTTCCATCTTAGCAGGATGGAAGTCAAGAGCATCTTGTTAATGGAGGAAACTGGTTTGGGTTTGAAGAAGTATTTCCACTATAATTTGTGTATCTTATGTACAAATTAATTACCTATATTAATGTAGAAATATATGGAAGTGCTTCCTTTAAACTGTTTTCTTAAAAAAATTTAAAGTGAAATCAGTATCAGAAGTGGAAGAGGTTTTTATTCCTCATCTCCCATGTTTCCATTGCTCCCACCATTGCAGCACTTCCTAAGTTAATGTGTTTCCCCTTCCACATCTGTGTGACCTGTGGAGAACAAGCAGCTCTGAAACGTTGGAGGAGGAGGGGGTCTGTGCTGCCAGTGTTTGTCGATGTAGCTGGTATTTGCATGAAAAGGAAACAAAGGAGACAGATTTAAATGGAGGACAGTGCTTGTTTATGCAATTTGTTTCTGCAAAAAGGAAGGTGCTTGCTTCTCAAGTGTGAGCCTTAAGCTTTTGTAGCTTAAGCATAAGGCCATGTCTTGAGGAAATCTGTCTGTATACAGTTCAAGAAAGCCAGCAGTTATGAAACAAGTACTGTTGCCTTAGTATCTGCTGAGTAAGCCATATGCCATCAAGGCTTTGCTTCATGTTCTCTGTGTCAAGAGCAAGGCAGGGATGTTGCTGTGACTGCTGTTGAGGTGGAAGTCCACTGGGGTGGGGACACCTGAAGCACAGGGAACCAGCCTGATCAAGACTACTGGCAGGGGCTCAGGCTGGAGAGCAAAGACATGCTAAAGCAGAATCTTTAGAACATGAGAGGTGGCTAGCTAAGGAGGGTCAGAGGCATGCTGCAGTAATGGGCTGTTAAAGTTAGCCAAGGGGCTTGCCCTCAAGGGCAGCAATTGGCTGCCCACGAGGCATGTGGCGATTCCCTGAGCTGGGACTGTGAAAGACTGAGCTGTGAGATGAGGATGGGTAGTTCTCCTTGAGAGGTTGCAGCTTGTTAAAGAAACGGAGGTAGGACAGTCCCACTGGTCTTAGGTTTTTATCCAAATCTCTCCATCTGTTAAACCCTCAGGAGTAATGGATAGTGTATACAGTGAAGGTCTAGATGGCAAGAAGTCAAGGCCTCTGTGGAACTGTTTGAGCTCTAGTGTGTGTATATTATGTGCTTACTTTGGAAACTGCAAATTGCAGTAAGTAATCTTGGCCAGCCTGGACTTTCGGACATCTATCAACTGCCCTGCAGTCTGTTTTGTAGAGCCTTGCCATCAGGGAACTGAGCCAGTCTAGTGGAGAGACAGATAGATTTGAGGAAAACTTGTGTTCTACATTGCCAGAATATAGCTTTGCTCCACTAAAGCAGGCACAACAGAAGGAGAGGTACTTGATTCTGGTGACCTGTCCTGTGTATTTTGGTAACACTGAGCTGCTGCTTGTGACCACCTGCAGTTGTGGTGCTGGCTGAAGCTACCCTGTTTAACCTTTTCTTTCCACAGTACCACCTGTTTGATTGGGTAAAAACTTGTCTGCTTTCCTTCTTAAGCAATGAACTGGGATACCTGCCAGCACTCTTGCTAGCGAAAATCAAACTTTTATGTGATGAGGTTAAACTGAGTTGCTTCCAACTTCCCTGTCACTTGCTGAGCACACCCTGTGTGCAGACCTCTCAGCTGCTTCCTCTGTGTCTCTATAATTTTTTTTTCCCCTCCCTGGTTTGCCTTGCTTACCATGTCTTGTAGCTTTGCTCAGTTTTCTTGCCCTCAGGGCAGAGTGTATAACCCCATTCTGCTCTTGCACCGCTTCACTGTCTTTTACTGTCTTGTATTTGTGCATCATACCCTCACCTTCACTGTTCATCTGCCCCCTCAGCTTATTTCCTAAGATGGAGCCTCTGCTGGTATCCTGCTCTGCTTTCACCAATGTCTTCTTTTTCACCTTGTAGTTCCTCTTTTTCACCTTGTAGAAAACCTGCAAAGACTTGCTCTCCCTGCCTGCCTTTCTGCCCCTTCCTGCCCCTATTTTCCCGGATGTTGCTCAGAAATGACTGTGCCATAGGCCTGAAAAGGGGAAAGCAGCATGTAGTATGTCTGGTCCACAGCAATACAAATGTGGATCAGTGGGTGTAAAACAGCATGGTGACTAGCCAGCTGAGTCCCTCCTCCCCAGAGCTGCCTGCGGCCATTTGTTACTCCAGGCACCTTTTGAGAGATGATTCTGTCTGATTTTCTGATACCCTGTGCTAAGGCCGACCACCATGTCGAGACTCAGTGCATGGCATGACAATTACTACACAGTGTGCTGTGGAATTACTGTGGATCTGAAGTTGTGCTTCAGGCTTTGCATCATCCTACTCAAAGTAACTGAGGACATGCACAAAAATGCAGTTTTCCTGATGTTCTCTTGCTCTAATGCTGCACAGGAGGACATAAGTAGAGGAGAAATGCTTATGTGCCTTTGTCCGTATGTGAGTCAAGTTCCCAACCCTTTTACAGGTTTGCTGCTGGCTTTCAGCAGGTCACGAAGTCTGGGTCTTGTTGTTATATAACGTTTACACACGAGTAACTATTTCTCTTCCCTCTGACAGACTGTCTGGCATGAGACAGGATGTGGTCTCTTACAACATGTGTGGTTTTGGTGCAATAAAACCCAAACCCTGTGGGGGATCAATACATGTTACTATTCATACCGACTAAAATTAACTCGAAGCTCTGTGTTTATATGGTGTCTCTGGTAGCCTAGAGTGTCCCTGCTGCAGAATTTATTTCATCAGTCATGAATTAGTAAATTTATGTTAAGTTTAAGCCACCTGTATGTGCTTGAAATCTGTGTAGTATTTCTTAATGGGAAATTGTCTCTACTAGCACAACCTGCACAACTCTAGGCTTTTCTCAGGGGTGCGTGTGAGGCAACAGAAGCACATTAGAACACAGGAAATTTTAACTAAAAAAACCCCAAGCTTTTGCCGTGAAGGTGGTTGGAGACTGGATCAGGACTCCTGAGAGTCCGGAGGAGCTCTGTCCTTGGAGGTACTAAAAACCTGACTAGACAAAGTCTGCAGTAACCTGCTGTAGTGGGACCTGGTTTAAGCAGAAGGTCAGACCTGAGGTCCTTCCCTACCTCATTCTTCAACATTTCTTAGCTAAGCTGTGCCAGATACAGTTTGGCTCAGGATGTGCTATTGTCTTTGTAGAGTTGAATTTCTCTATGTTGTTTTCTTCAATGCAGATAGTGATCCAGATGGACAGAGCAAGGAAGAGCACAGAGCCATGGAAGATCGCAGTCATTGTTGTGTCAGTGATAGTGGGCTTAGCCCTCATCATTGGCTTGATTACATTGTTTTTGTGCCACGGTAAGTGCGCCACTGTTTTTGTTGTCACAAGTCTTCAGAAATCTGTTTTATTTCATCTTGCCTGATGATTTAGGTATAAAATTCCCCCCGGTATAGAATCCACATGAGCAGACTGATCTGAACTGATTAGAAAACCTGCAAGAATACTTAAAATATAATTTACTTGAAACATGGATTTAAGTTATGTGCCTCTTTCTGTTTTTTGTCTTGCCCTGGTGTCTCTACTGGTAACTGTGGTTAACCAAAGGCTAGCAGTCTTATGTGTAAACCAGGAGTGTGTCTAGTACTCAGGCTATGAAGAGTAAGCCTGGTCTTGGACAGGCTTTTTTGCAGAAACTGAAGCTGGCACTTTTAGCTGAGGATATTCCAGAAAGAGAGAGGTTTAGGTCTTTTTGGGGCCGGGAGTTAGTCCTGGTTGCCAAGGGCCCAGTTTCAGTAGCAGATGAATGAAGCCAAGCCATTCTATTCCCAGTCTCTGAGATACCAGTGTGAGGGGTTTTGAAAGGCCTTCCTGCTGGGATGGAACCAATCATGTTGCTGTCTTGGCTTACTGAGAGTCAGCAAGGCCATGGCTTGAATTAGGACACTAGGCAGAGCAGTGGCAGAGCTATAGCTTAGCTTTGCTTTTTGCTAATTGCATTATGGGGCCACTCTCTGCCATTCACCCAAGAGCTAGATTTTAAATTTAACCTGACTTCTTAATGGGTGCAAACAGCTCTGGGCCACCTGCCTCTTGGAGGGATAGGGACATGTCAGAGTGAAGCTAAGGAGGAGTGAGTGTGTGTACTGAGTCAGAAGGGACATATGTAGGCTGGTGTGTGTCGCTGTGCTCACCTCAGGCTGATGAGAAGATGGTCCCCAGAGAAACGTTGTAGTGGGTATAATTTAGAGCTACTTGGGATAGTTCTTGAAGGAGAAAAGAGCCCCTAGGTGGTCCCTGGAGCAACAAGATGATCCAGAGCCCTCTTTACCCAAAGTGCTGATAAAGCTGTAATTTCACAGCTGATGGGATCACAGCTAGAGCCTGTGAGCCTTATTTGTGCCACACTCTGTGAAGTGCTGTGCATGTCTGAATTGTATTGAAGGAAGTCAACCACCTCTCCTTCTCTGTAGATCAGGACCGATATTATGATGCATCTTTCTTAATCACCAATGTCGACTATGACCCTCAGTATGAAAGGCAAACCACAGAAGAGTTCAGGCACCTGAGCCAAGAGATTGAAACCATGGTAAGCTAAGATATTTTGCTTTTTCTTCCTAACCTATGGTGAAGAGTCCTGCGACTGTGTGACTGAAAATAAAGAGTCAGTGGTGATTGTGCCTCATCCTTATGTGGCTGGCCTTACCTTTCAAACCTTAATGTAGTGGGTTAAAGATGTATCACTGACTGTGAGCAAGCAGATGGTAGGCACAAGTGCTGTCTGTTCCAGCAGCCCTGTGGTGAAACAGGCACCCACTGAGCAGAAGGGACAGCAAAACTGGCCACTCAGCTGTTTATTTTGGTTCTGCATCCTCTGACAGAAATTTAGCGGTAGCTTTGGTGTAGACGTGGAGATCTGAAGGTGTTTTCTTGTGTTTTGGAGGCTCATGAGAGTGTTATATCTTGAGAGCATGTACATATTACATGTGTGTTTTAATATACTCTCTTCCTTTAACAGATATCTGAAGTATTCAAGGGATCCTTTCTAAGTAAAAGGTACATCAGATCCCATGTTGTTAGTCTAAGGTAAGTAATGTGAAGGTCGGAAATAAGCAGCGTTGTGATAAATAACCTTTCTTTCTACCCCTTGACCATATGGAGTGGCCTGGTTGTTTATGCTTTGATTACACCAACAGGATGACTAAATCTAGGCTAGTTGTCACTCTCCTTTGATGCTCACAACACTGAGGACTCAGTTACCTTCAGAGGTCAGGAAGGAAGAGAAATTTGGCCTTCTGCAGATTGATTGCCTGAATACCAGTTGTTTGCGGCTGTGATGCAGTAAATGAATTACTAGGTGATCGCAGTCTTCACTACTACTTAAGGGCTTGAGAGATGCAGAGTCAGCTCATTATTCCACTTAATGCTTCCTGTGAAAGCTCAGGCTGGTGTTTGCCCCTCTACATGGTATACAGCAGGAGGTGACTATTCTCTTCCCTCTCTGAAAAGGTCTGAAGGAATAAATGATTCTGCTGTGAGAGACATGGATATAGAGTTGAATGAAGGAGGCAAGTGGGAAATACAGGTATAAAGGTCCTGTGTGAATGCTTTTAAGTCTTTCTTCTCTCTGCAGTAATTATGTATCACTCAGCGATAAGAACCATCACTTCCTTCTCCTTCACATGATTTTGGTTTGAAGTTGTATTTCTATAAGGCTCAATTCTGATGTAGAATATGTTTCCCTACACAACAAAGAATGCTAGACTTCCCACAAATGTCTTTCTCCACAGCACTTCTGGCTTTCTTGCCTTTACCTGTATCTAGATGGAATGAGTAATTTCCATAAACGATTGGTTCTCAGCTGGGTGAGGAACGTCCAGACTGGAAACATTTGGTCTGGCCCATGACAAGCACTGTGTCTCCTTTTCCCACAGCCTCCTCCCCTCAATGCCCCTCTCATACTCAAGCCCCAACCCCTGCCTGCCCTGATGTGCTAGTATATTCGGTGCTAGCATGGCTGGTTGAGTCCCACCACCTTTAACTGGGCGGTTTTTCTCCTAAAGACATTTTCTTAACCCAGCGGCCCTCTTTAGGGCCCCAACGGGGTTGAGGTCTGTTCCTCCAAGTGGTGGCCCTGGACCCGTAAACAAAAATGGTGACTGAACACAGACAAGGAGGGAGGTGAGAAGAATTGTCAAAATTTTTCATCAAATTTTAATGTCAAAATTGGCATCAAATTTGGGATTAGCCTGTTAAAATGTCATCTAATGGGTCACTTGAGCAAGAAGAGTGTTGATGCTATTATTTTAAATTCATATGGAATCATTTCAATAAAGATATTATAATAGGAGTGTGTGCATTAATAGATTAACTTATTTCCCTTTCTCTTCAAATTTGAAGACCCTTCTTGAGAAAATTGAAATAAATATTTGATGCAGTCTAGGGCTTTAGATCTTGAATTAAGTCTTGGTGGTCCGTGGCCACAGAAGGTATATAAAGGGGGTTCTTGGTGAAGGAAAGGTTGAAAACCCCTGCCTTAAACTGTTCTACATTGTTTTCTGCTGTTAGTTTCTTCCACAAGCCTCTCATACTGCATATCAACTGAAATCACAGAACTTGGGAGCTAGATTTCAAAAAATCTCTTTACACCTTTTAGGTTGACCAAACTATATCACTTCCAAGTGTGTTTTCACTACAGATACCTTCTTATGCAACTAGGCACTGGACAGCTGCATCTCTGCTCTCTTTCCCCATAGTCTTCAGCTGGTTTTCCTGTAGATTGTTAGTCTAAAGTATTGGGCCCAATATTTTATGTGATAGTAAGTGACCATGCCTTACTCTGATAACTTCAACAATATAATGAGTTTTTTGTCTCTAGATACAATGGAGCTAACTGGCCAATAAATGGAGAAGTGACTTAAATGGAAAGAAATGCCAAAAGACCTTTTTAACTTCTGCAGCTCTAAACTGGGTCTTTTCAACAGCTGTTAGGGATGGCCTATTTGGGTATCTGTTGAAGGGTTCTAACTTGCTGTATTGTTCCTATTGCCATCTGTGCCCTGCTGACCGTGAGCTGTGTGGAGGCCAAAGGGAGTGATCCCTCATCTCTTCCTCAGCTGTACCACTTATAACAGTGCCCAGAAAACTCCCTCTGATCATTGTTATAGTGAGAACCAAGCCTTTTCCTGCCTGCTGAGATATCATCTTCCTTTACTTGCGCACAGCTACACTATTTGTTCTGTACATCTGTGTAGACCTGACCTGTTCTCATATCAAGAAGACAGACAGGGCAAAGCAGAACAAAGAGGATTAGTGAGCAAAGAGAGAATGACACCACTTTGTTTTTGTTGGTTTGCAGCCCAGATCCTGGTGGAGTTCTTGCATCTGTTGTTCTGGTATTTAAATTTGCCACAGCTGACAGTAAGGCAGCAAGCTGGGGCCACGTCAACCGTGTATTACGCAGAAGGCTGAAAACAAGCTCTAAGTTCTTGAATGTTGACCTGTCTACCCTTAGACTCACAGGCAAGTATCTGTATTGAGTATTTAGTGTTTGTGGTTTTAGCGTGGAATTTTTTCCTCATACTTTGCTGTTCCTAGTGTCATGGGTTTCACTTTAGTATGCAAATATGTGCTATTCTTTTTTTCTTCTTTTGCCTTCTCAAAATTGTGTGTTATGGCTGACAGCCTGGTAGCTTGGAAGAAGTAGCAGGCAAAGAACGAAAGCATACCAGCACTGATTTATGAGCATGAGCAATCCTCTGTGCATCAGAGGTGCTGTCTCTGTGACTTAGCTCTGTTGAATGGGATATAGTGCCCCCCCAATTCATCAAAACAAGGCCCAACTTTGTGACCGTGGTTTCACAGATTACTTTAAGGGACACTGAATCGGAGAAGAACCTGTATTGCCAGGTACTGAAATGCAGAGTCCTCAAGCTATTAAAATACAAGGCTGAGATGGTTTCCTTCTTTACTCCCTGCCATTTTCTTTGCTTATTTGACAGATTGCTCTAGCAAGTGTTCATAACAAACCCCTGAGGTTCCCTGGGCAGTAATCCTCTGCTGTGAATCTGTCACTGGTTACCATCAGAATCTGGCAGAGGGGTTTTTGTAGAAAGAAATCAGGAATGTTACAGTTTAGCTTCAGTCAATCTTGGCACTGAGGATTTGTGAACACTGTTTTGATCACCTTGCCATACTGAACTTGAACAAATTCATGTGGGTATTTATATTGTGCACAGCCACTGGCACAGGTAGATGTGACTTAGACCTATTTGCAGTCAAATCCTGCTTTTGTTAGCTTTGAGCTAAGTCAAGAAAAATGTATCCTTTGGCCTTATACTTTCAGTGATGAACAGAGGCTTAATTGAACTTCCCCAACAGAGCAAATTACTCCTTTTACCGTACTGTCGCTCCATACAGCAATGCAAGCAATTTGTGTTCACCGGGTACAGGGAGGAAGTATGTATTGTATCACATAGCAGTAGGAGATATGCTCACTGTGATGTTTGCTTTTTATTTCAGAGTTGAACAAGGAAAAGGGAGACAACCTTTTAAACAACTGTAAGTACAAATGCTTTATAGAAAAGATCCAGGGACGTGGTGCTATAGGTTCTGCGTTTGCAAGATTCATATGTTGTTGAGATACAAGTTGAAAAAATAACTTGTTAAAGATACTAGAGCAGTAGACAGGGAAAACTTCAGCTCATTTTCTTGCAGTCAGGCTGTAGTGTTTGCAGAATCAAGCATTCTGACTTGGTGGTGCGTAGCACTTGCTTTAATGTTGGTTATGGGAAGCAGGGGCATGTAGATGAGTTGCTGTTAGTGAGCTTTGCACAAGGTCTACAGTCGCTGTGGGCCAAGATTCTTGCTGGAATCCTTCTAAAACCATTTTTCTTCCTTCCCCCTCTCTGCAGAAAAGTTTGGCAATAAATGTCTGTTAGATTTGAGCTAAACCTTGCAATATACAGGGAAAGGCCAGAGGGAGGGAGAGGAGCTGTCTGCAGTGACAGCAAGGGAGTGGCACAGCCCTGGAGAGGGGCACGTTCTCAGTGCTCCTGTTCTGTGCTCTCCCATGAGATCTTACAGCTCCTCTGGAAACAGAGACAGTATAAGTCCCTTCCCAGGGGACATCAGTCCCCTGCGTGGTCTCAGAGCCTGTGCACATTAGCTTTCCATCTTTAAGTGGGCTCTGAGAATTAACTGGTTTGGATCTAACTTTTTTCAGCTGAGTAATATGTGACCATGCTGTTGGCACAGTGGCTATAAGTAAACTGTTGGAGGAAGAAGACACTTTTGTTGCTGTTGCCAAGGCTGACCTGGAGGTGACCTGACAAAATCCATTCTCTGTTTGCTTAGTTTGTGGGTGGATTTTTTGTTTGGTTTTATTGTTTCTTGCAAACTAGTCTTCAGCAATTTTATGACTCTTAAAACTGTACTATGTTGTTATTGCCTTTGCTATACAGCTGGGATGTTACAAATAATGGGAAGATTGCCTCCACTAAGTTCGCAAGTGATGTGTAGTGTCTCTTTCGTGTCTTTGCGTCTCACTGCATATTTTGGCGGTGATGTGTGTATTAAAGTTTAGAGCTGCCCTGATGTGGTTGCTGTTTATGTGGGGGTTCCTCAGTATTTTCATACTCTATTTTTAAGATGTCTTTTTTTTTAAAAAAAAAAAAAAACCAAACTATGGATGCTCTTTTTTTTTTTTTCCACACAGTACCAAGAGAGGTTTGGTCTTTAGCTGAAACTTGCATGCCATTATTATGAAAGCTCTATGAATCTAAATGCTCAGGTCAATTATCAGCACATGTCTTTGCGCCTAATAATCTGTATAGGTACCTGTATGCACAGATACACTAATGACTACATATGCTACCTGTCCCTGTACAGCTCTGGTTAAATATCAAACAAAGTAAGGTTTGTAGAGGCAGTATTTTTAAACTGGGTAAACAGTTACAACTGAAGAAAATAAACGCTATCTCAAATATACAGCCTTCATTTCCCATGGGAGTACATATGGGCTTGTGTGCCTGAAAACTGGCTTAATGGAAAAAGTAGTGACTCTTCTATCAAACTTATTTATCTTACATCTATTCTGAGATGCTTGTGACCACGACACTTGGTTTCCCCGCTAACTGCTTTAGGTGAAGGCTGTCTCTTGACACCCCTGCTCTGTTACACCTGTGCCTGCAGCCATGAGGGCCCTCCCCAAAGAAACATCCTGATTTCCCTTGATCAGCTAAAGCAGAGCTGCCTTTTCTTTGACAGGCTGTGGAATACGAAGACAGGCGTTCTCCTTCACAGGCGTGGAGAGAATACTTGGTGGGCAGCGTGCGCAGGATGGGGAATGGCCGTGGCAGGCTAGTATTCAGCTTGATGGGACCCATCGCTGTGGTGCATCAGTGATCAGTAATACATGGCTAGTGACAGCAGCCCACTGCTTTAGAGGGTAAGTCATCAGCACCTTTCTATCTGACCTTTCTGGCCTTAGGACTCTCAGGTGCTCTGACCTTTCATGGCCCCCTACCATCTGTATCTGCTGAAAGATAATGAAGTTTGGGTTTTCTCTGTCCCTTAGGCAAACTTGGCTGCCCTGCATTTTGATGCTTAAATGGAGAGCTAAGCTCCTTTTGGGGATCTTGTTCTATGTGGCTGTGATGTAACCTCAGGTATCTTACAGAGTAAGAGATCCTCGGAGGTGGACTGCCAGCTTTGGGATTCTGCTGAGACCTCCAAAACATAAAAAATTTGTCCGAAGAATTATCATTCATGAAAGATACAGTGACTTTGTCCTTGATCATGAATATGATGTGGCTGTTGTGGAACTTGCCTCTCCTATTGAGTTCACGAGTGATGTGCACAGTGTCTGCCTTCCTGAAGCATCTCACATTTTCCCAGAGAATACTTCCTGTTTTGTTACAGGTTGGGGAGCTTTGGAGAATGATGGTGAGTGTCTCTTGCCTTCCTGTGCCCTGTCAAACATATCTGAGAAGATTGCAGTTGAATTCAACACTGAAACATGTACAAAATCCCTTTTGTCCATGACACTAAAGAGCATCTGGTGAGGATGAAAGATGGGGAAGGGTTATGTTTGGCAACAAGTGAAAAGACTTTGGGGGGGGAAAACTTTCTTCTTCCTGAAATGTTGTCTGGGGAGCTCCCTTCATTGCCTGTAATGGCAGAAAAAAACTGTAGGAAAATCTGGCTACTCCTAAGCCTTCAGTATTTTAGGTTGCATACCCTGTCTGCAAATGCTAATGCCACTTCTCCTCCTAGGCTATAGTGTTAATCAGCTTCGACAAGCGGAAGTGAAAATTATAAGTACTGCGACTTGCAATAGAAGACAAGTATACAGTGGGGCGATAACACCTGGAATGTTGTGTGCTGGATACTTAGAGGGGCAGGTGGATGCCTGCCAGGTAAGTCTTTTCATAGGTAATAGTAAAAAGAAAATGTTTTTTTGTGTGTTGTGATGTTTCCTAGAAATAAAACATACTTTGGGGAATCTTGACTAAATTTATGGGGTTCATTATCCTGACAGATGTAAATTAAGATCTTTCTGGCTCATGGGCTGAAGTCTGTACTTAGGTGCCTTGGGGTTTATATATAATGCACATGTGCGAGAATACAGATGTGAGGGTGTGGAGTGGGAGAGACTGAATTTAGACAGGCTGTCAGTCTCTGTCTTGTCACTAAACCATATGGAGGCTGAATTATAGATGTGGTCTAGAGACAAATATCTGTCAGTTGTAACAGAACAATTTGAGGCTTGCTGCATTAGTGATGTGAACACTGTTTACTTTGTTCCTGCCTGTTGACATTTTTCTCTTCAGGGTGACTCTGGTGGGCCACTGGTACATGCGAACTCCAGAGGAATCTGGTATCTTGTGGGAATAGTGAGCTGGGGAGATGACTGTGGCAAGCCAAATAAACCAGGAGTGTACACGCGAGTGACTTACTATCGAAACTGGATCAACTCCAAAACTGGCATCTGAAACCTGCAGCGGGTTACGTTTTATGGGCTGTGTACGGCTATTCCTCTGACACATTCTGCTCTGTGGTTACCCTCTAAACAGCTGCTGGCTTAGCTTGTGGTCAAGTACCAAGTGCCAGCAAGCTCGGAGTAGTCTAGGACTTGAAATTGGTTTGGCCTACAGCCAGACAGGAACAGACTTGATCCACGTGACAGCTGTTTGTTCAGGAAGTACTCTGTCAAAGGATGACTGCCTTCATCTATATGCAATATACTGACCCTTTTTTCTCTGTGGCCAAATGGTTTGGCCCCTACTTTTATACTCAGGCAAAGCATATGAGACCAAACAATCACTTATCAGCATCCAAGACATGTTATAACTAAAAATGTGGCCTGTCTGTTTGCTGTGTGCTCCCAAGGCCCCATCTATCTGTAGGCAAGCTACAATCCAGACCCTGACTGGAAGGCTGCTGCATTTTTGAATTCTTGAGGTTTTTCCTGCATCATTCCAGGGAGTGTACTCCTAATGAAGAACAGAAGATGCCTTAGAGATGTCCTGGTGCCTAATACCGTGTCAGACTGTTACTTGAGTGAATAGAAAATAATTTCCTTGATGAGTTTTCCTGAAAAAGGAATCCGTGGAAAACTCCAGCTTCTGTCCACCATCTTTGAACAAGTCTACGTACGCCCACTCATCGCTTCATATGAACAGCCCCTACCCCAGTGTTTGCGTGCGAGTGATTGTTGGACTTAAGACCAAACAAACCCCACTTACATTCATACCAGTTTGTTGTCGTATCAGAGCATTTGGCTGAATTAATTCCATATTTAACTTTCCAGATTGTATTGTTCTGAGTAAGTCTTTGGCTTTTTGTGCAGGATGGAGGATTGTAACAATCTTAATGTGACCACTGCCAAAAAAGAACCCCCCTCAATCTGCTTATTCTTGCAAATGCTGTTCTCAAGTCTTCATTATATTTTAATATGGGCATATTCAGCTGCCTCCTTAAAAGAAAAAAAAAAAGATTTTGTGATATGGTGGAAATACCTGTCTCCTTCTGAGCAGGGCAGAACTTCTGACCAACCCAGTAATCTTATGTAAAGGTATCTTTCTTTCTCTCTTCTGTCAGGAAGTAAGAATAGCTTGTGTCTCATTGCTAGACTGCAGCTAACTCTGATCTCAGCCACACAAACTTCATGTTCTTTCTGACCTCATATTTTGAGGAGCCCAAGTTTCAGTCTGCCAGGTAGATCTCAAACACTTTCCACACTCTAGCAGCAGAACACGCCTATTCCTGGTGAGGATGCTTTCCTTGGTGTATCCACAAACCTTCTAACAGTTTATGTGGATGCTGAACCTGACAACAGCAAGTGCTGTGGTCTTAGTTGCTAGATAATGAGCCACTCAATTGCCCTCTTTTCCCTCTATGGTCAGAAGAGAAAGAACTCAGCAAAGGAGATACCAGCCACACTGCCAAGATTCAGAGCTGGTCCAGCATGGCAAGTAAGCATCTTACGCCAGGCTAGAAAAGGCAAACAGCAGGCTTTCAGCATGCTCATAGTTAGAAGATTTGGAGGAAATGGGCCCTCAGTCTTAGGATCAAAGTGTTGTTCAGACTGAGTACAAGTCAGTTGATATACTGGCAGTTCAGGAGACTCCCTCTGGACTATGCAGCTTGATGCAAATGCTGTCAAACAGAACAGCAGTTCGTTAACACAGGTATTTTGAGTATGCATTCTGTGATCAAGCCACTTGCTAGTACCAAGGATCATGCTTTTTTAGAAACCTCACTGGAGGTACTGGAGTATTTGGATGCCCAGAGAAGGACTTCGTGAAAGACAAGGGTCTGCAGCTGTTGTGTGTTCTATACTTGTGTGTATCAGGAAACCTGGCACTTAAAGCTTTTCTCAGGGAACTTTTCTTGTGGAATGTTGTGAGCTTCAGAAACAAAGCTTGGTGTCTTAATTTCTACATAGGGAGGAAATAGTGTTGAACTGGTTCTGTAGGTCTGAGCCTGGCAAATCTCATTTTAGTCCTGTAAGCAGAACATGGCTTTGAAGTGTATTGCTTCTGGAGGAAGCTTAAAAGTGATGTATGACAAGTATATATGATTTTTTTCATGCTGGTAGAAACTGTTTTACCAGGACAGTGAACAAAATTTCATGAAGAAAAGCATCATTACAAGATGCCATGGATTTTCAGTTCCCAAAGCACTTTAGTCTTGAGTTTTCAAGGTGCATAATGGTTTCCCCATTATGCTGGATTTCATGGTAACTTGGAAACATAATATTTTTAGGCTTGCAGATACCAGCTATCTCACTGGTTCCCCTAAACAAGTAAATAAGTGTCCAAAAAGTTTATTTTGCATCTGTGAAATTTCCAGTTGTGCTTATTTATGATACAAAATCAGAAGGACTTAAACATTTTGTATCAAGGGCTGCAGTAAATATCATTCTCCAAAGGGGTGCATGCAAGACTGAAAAAGTGAACTTGTCACTTCTTTAAGGAGCTATCAGTTCTAAGCATCTACTTGCAGAGATACAGTACCTTGATCCACCTTAATGCTGAGTGTCAGCACAGTGTGTCCAGGAGGAGTGGGGCTGAAGAGGACCTGACATCTACATGGTGTATGCTTTGGGAGCCTTTATTCTGGACTGCCTTGTGGAGTTTTCCTGATAGCAGCTGTAACAAGTCTTCTGATCCAGTTTCTTCTGGAAGCTGTGTAGTTTACATGCTCTGAGGCCTCTTGGTGATGCAAACCAGTATAAATGAGGACTGTCAAGAAGAGTGCTTGAAAAAAAACCAAACCCTTATCCACTGGGAATATTGATGCGGATGGATGTGATGGGTCTGAGTCCCGTATTTGTGGCAAAACTACACTGATGTCAGCATTGTCTGGCTATTATGGAAACTTGAAGCAATGTAGGTGGCCAAAACATTTTATTTGGTTTAGGTGGCCTAGCAGATTTGTATTTCTTTTAAGCTGCAGTCTCACCTATTTGTGAAGCCACAAGCTTAATCTTCTCTCAGCCATGTTTTTTGGGAAATAACATCTTCTCTTAAGGCAGAATGGGATGTATTTAACTATACAATCATGTATGACACACAGGAATGTAATTTATATGTACATTTAATAAAGCCTGTTAAAAATTTGCCTTCTGTTTCATGTACTTTTTAATTTCCTGTGTTAGGGTAAACAACTGCAAGATGGGGACTCCTCTCTTTTTGAATGTGTTACACTATGTATTTATGTACTGGCGTTTATCTAATCTTAATAATCTGGTTTTATTGACTTGTTAAAAGAACATAACTGGAAGAGAAGTGTAACTGTTACGGCAAAATGACAGACTTGTACAGAATTTACCCTCCTGGCCAGAGGCTCCCAAATCTGTGTGTAGGCAACTAGGTCTCATGCCAGCCACTAGAGGGGTGAATCGTATTGTAAAAGAGCCTCAAGCTCTCGCTGGTGTTGCTGTTTCAGATCAGTAGGGAGGATCTTGGGGGACAAGGCACTGTGTCTGTGTTGCCTTGAAGATGCAGAGGTGCTACACGATTGTCTTGCAAAGTCTGAGGAGACTACAGCTGTTCAGCCTTTTGCATTGGCTTCTGCAGCACTGTGTCAGAAAGTTGGCATCAAATGTTCCCCTTTAAAGTAGAATCAGAATCACAGAATCAGTCAGGTTGGATCCCTTGGCATCATTGAGCCCAACCATCAGCCCTACTCTGCAAAGTTCTGCCCTATACCATCTCCCCCAACATCTCATCTAAATAACCCTTGAACACACCCAGGGATGGTGACTCTACCACCTCCCTGGGCAGCCTATTCCACTGTCTGACCACTCTTTCTGTGAAACATTTTTTTCCTAATGTCCAGTCTAAACCTCCTCTGTTGCAGTTTAAAATCATTCCCTCTTGTTCTGTCACTAATTACCTGTGAGAAAAGACCAGCACCAACCTCTCTACAGCATCCTTTCAGGTAGTTGTAGTGTTGAGGTCTCCCCTGAGCCTTCTACTCCTCAAGCTAAACAGTCCCAGCTCCTTCAACTGCTCCTCACAGGATTTATTCTCCAGGCCCTTCACCAGCTTCGTTGCCCTCCTCTGCACTCACTCCAGCACCTTGATGTCTCTCTCGTATTGAGGTGCCCAAAACTGGACACAATACTCGAGTACAGGGGCACTATCACCTCCCTACTTCTGCTGGTCACACTATTTCTGATACAAGCCAGGATGCCGTTGGCTTTCTTGGCCACCCGGGCACACTGCTGGCTCACATTCAGCTGCTTGTCAGTTAGAACCCCCAGATCCTTCTCTTCCAGACACCCTCCAGCCCCACCTCCCCAAGCCTGTAGCGATGCCTGGGGTTGTTGTGGCCCAAGTGCAGGACCTGGCACTTGGCCTTGTTGAAGCTCATCCCGTTGATGTTGGCCCACTGATCCAATCTATCCAAGTCTCTCTGTAGAGCCTCCCTAGTTTGTTAAGTATAGGGTGCTATGGCTGCATGCAAGGGACTGAGTAGGTTTTGCCTGCTGTTCTGCCACACCATAGCCAGACCTTTGTCCTGTGGAAAAGTAGACTGGAAAGCACATTGTCAGGTATTGTTGGCATCATGGGTCTATTTTTTGAGCTTGTCAGCCGTCTTGCAGCCAAGATAGCACAGAGCAGCAGTAATTCTGAGACTCTGATAGGATGGGAGGTTTGCAGTGGCATACAGCTACCGTTTGCATTGACTTCTCATTTTGACAACTGCTGGTGATTCTTATAGATGGCAGACACTTATCAGATTTCTTCTTGTCCCTTTCCCATCAGGATGGGAAACCTGGTACAAATTGCACCATGTTCTGAGCTACCAGAGCAAGCTTTTGATGAATGAAGCATGCTGGAGTTCATTGATCCTGATCTATAATACATAACAGCCAAAGGGATGCTCTTAGACTTTGAGATTATCTAAGCTTTATTGTAGTATTACAGGCTAGGCCAGGTTGGCTATGAATGGGAAGGTGGCTGTTCATTTGGAAGAACAGTAGCCCTTTTGTCACATTTTACTGGGTCAAGTACAATAAAGGGAGTCTTAGAGACAGACTTCTTAAAGGACATCATTTTAACAAATCTGATAAATTTTTTTTTTATGGCTTAAAGAAACTCACTTTGTGCTGAGATTCTGACAGAGCACTGTGTGTGCTCTGTGTATGACACTTAAAGCATTTATGAGCATTCAGCAGCTGGTAACTGTGCCATGACCTAAGGATGTGTTGAACTGGTGTGGTTGTATATGGCTAGGGGAGCTGTATGGGTGGAGTTTCTGTCATAGGGTTTGAAGTGAAGAACTGAGCAGAATAATAACTCACCAAGAAGGACAATGGCATCCTGGCTTGTGTCAGCAATAGCGTGGCCAGCAGGGACAGGGAAGGGATCTCACCCCTGTACTCGGCACTGGTGAGGCCACCCCTCGATTCCTGTGTTCAGTTTTGGGCCCCTCACTACAAAAAGGACATTGAATGACCCAAGCGTGTCCAGAGAAGGGCAACGGAGCTGGTGCAGGGTCTGGAGCACAGGTCGTACGGGGAGTGGCTGAGGGAACTGGGGGTGTTTAATCTGGAGAAGAAGAGGCTGAGGGGAGACCTCATCACCTTCTACAGCTCCCTGAAAGGAGGTTGCAGAGAGCTGGGGATGAGTCTCTTTAACCAAGTAATAAGCGATAGGACAAGAGGTAATGGTCTCAAGTTGCACCAGGGAAGGTTTAGACTAGATGTCAGGAAGTATTTCTTTCCAGAAGGGGTTGTTGGGTGTTGGAATGGGCTGCCCAGGGAGGTGGTGGAGTCCCCATCCCTGGAGGTGTTTAAGAGTCGGGTCGACATAGCGCTGAGGGATCTGGTGTAGTTGGGAACTGTCAGTGTTAGGTCAATGGTTGGTCTGGATGATCTTCAAGGTCCTTTCCAACCTAGACGATTTTGTGATTCATGTTTTTCTCTGTGTGTGTTGAACCAGGATCCT